CGGTGGCGTAGTCGTGGCTGGAGGGAGCAGGAGGAAGGGGCTTTCTCCTGGGGTTTTCACCGTGGGAGTTATCCGAACAAAATCCCAGTGCTCGGAGAAGCTGCCAAGGTGAACACGGGCCATCGCCGGCGGCTTTAGTCTTTACACAAAAATCACCAGAAAGGACCCCAGGGAGCTATTTCTTGGCTAAACCAGCTTTTTCAGGTGCAAAAAAAAAAAAAAATGTTTCTAGGAATTAACCAATAGAGCTCAAAAAAGTCTCCAGTCTTAACCCACCACCCATCTTGTGGGCTTGCAGAGCCCCGGACCACCGTACCGCCTGGTCCCCGCGCAGGAGTGGTCGAGGATCCCAGCCCTGGCTCCCGGGGGACTCGGCACCCCCAAACCTGCCCCACTTACAGCTCCAGCCTCCAGCAGTCCTGCCCGGAGACCCAGACTCCGCAACGCAGCCGCTTCCCCCCCAAAATCCCTCACAAATCCTGCTCAGCCCTTGGTGGGATCCCATCGGTGTCGCACCCATCGCGGCGTTCCCATCGGGAATCCTCAGAAAGATGGAATTTACGCCGCGATTTCTCAGTGATGCTCAAAACGTGGCACATCAGCAAACAAAATCCCGATTTGTGGCGCAATGCAACCACGCTGCACGCTAGATAAGTCACTTTAACAGTCCCACAAAGTTTACACGTTTAAATGATATATCCAAGTCATGCTGACGTCATTTCACCTAAAACACATATTCTAGGTAGATGACTGGCTATAACAATATACAAATGATGCATCATGGTATTATCCTGAAGCTTCAGGAAAAAAAACAGTAATAATAAACAGGATTGTTTAATTCCATGCTTGTCCCAGGATGCTGCTTTGTCACTATAATTCCCAAACGAAACAAGTTGTTCTCTGGGTATTTCATTATTTTTAGTTCCCCTCCACTGCTGACTCATTGTGTCCTTTCCTGTCGGTGCTAAATTAACTTCCTCTCCCGGCTGTGGGGATGGATCCTGACACAATAAGTCTGGAAAAAAACAACAAAGAAAAACTCCCATGGCCTGAGTGGACGGATGTGGTCGGGAGCACCGGGATGGGGCTGGCAGGGGGCTGAGCCTGCAACCTGCCGCATGCTTCCCTACGGATCGGGACCGTCACGCTGCCCTGGTCCATGGGAAGGGGATGTCCCCCACCTCCTCGCCAGCTGGCTGAGCTGGTGAGCCCCGTCCCTGTGGTCCCCACCACTCGGGGTGGTGGTGTGGGAGGTGATGCACGCGACGTGCAAACCAGTCTGCAAACTGACAGCAAAGCCACCCCAAGGGGAGGAAATGGTGCCGTTTACCAAAAAATACATTTTTCACCTTTTTTTCCCACTTTTTCACCTGTGCATCACCCCTCCGAGCACAGAACAGGTCAGGCTAGGTACCAAAAGCCCAGGAGAAATGAATTTTGTGGTTGTCTCAGTGCAGGGACCAAACCCTTTGGTGATGAGCCTCTTCTCCAAGTGATGCCAAAGGCCGCTGCGGGCAGACGGGCAGCACCGCTGCCTGCACCCGGCTGCCCAACAAACACCCCCCCAATCTATTGTACGTAGGTCAAATAAACAAAAAGACAACGACGGGGCCATGCTGCCAGGTCTGCTCCACGTTGGCATGGCCAGCCAAGGACTCCTCGCACGTCAGATGGCATCAGAAGGAAGCTGGCTTCCATGGCTCCAGCTGCCACGGCCCCCTCAGCCCCTTTTGCTTTTTATAGCATGAAGGGAAAACTGGGAAGGGGTGTATCTGGAGCAGGTCAGCCGGGGTGTCCCTACGGCAGGAGCACACGGCCACAGACTCGGTGCCGCGGGGACATGCCAGCACTCCCATCCTTCTCAAGCGAGGCGAGGAAATAGGGCACTCTGAGTTCTACGTGCTCGGAACACGTGCCGAGTGCTTGTGGATGAGCAAGCAGCTAAATTTAACTCCACTACGCATACGTAACGCTCGCGTGAGTCAATGAAAAACCTCCTCAAGGCTGTTGGGGTGTACTCCGTTGGGGGGGAGAACCACCCCCTTCTGCTGGGGGTCAGCTCTTGAACACCGCTGGTTACCGAGTTAGGAGATAAAACCCCTAAATTCCCCAAAAGTCCAATGACAGCACTTCGAGCACCCTCTCTGCAAAGCCAGCACCCACGGCCACAGGGCGCTGGGGCCAGGACATGGAGGTGACTTCCAGATTTGCTGAAATCTCAAGCTGCCAAGAACTATTTCACAAAACATCTATTTATTGGAAAGGTCGGGACAAATCTGTTCTGCAGAGCCCCTGCCCAGCACAGCATCCTCCCAGCGCAGAGCCACTGGTACAAGGCACTTACAACAAGTCCCTGCAAATTTAGGGATGAGATGGACCATGTCCTCCCTCTGATGATGCTTCCCTGAGCTTTAGCACACCAAATGCTTCCCACCTACTTCACGGAGCCTTTATTTTTTTGATCTCTGTCTGAACGAGAACAGCTCTCCGTAATGCAGGTTATATTTTATTTTATTGTAATTGGTTTGGGATGCGCTCAGCCATTCCTCCAGCGCGGCAGCCATCGGTGAGAGGCCAGGCCAGCAGCTCTCCAACTTGGCCAGCGCTCCACCGTGGGTTTCATGGCATCAGAGGTTTTCTCCAAGGCCTGTCTCTTGGGGTTATATTCTGCCATGAGTATTTATATTCACTTCAGTGAAAAAGACTATGACAATCTGGTATCTCTACATGCCACAGAAGCCTAGAAAACCCTAAAGATATCAAACAAAAGAAACTTAAGCATCACCACAGCAGCAGAGTCCAGCCTGATGCACGCACCCGGACCAGCTCCCAGGAGAACACAAGGGGCCGAGACGGCTGCACCGCACACCCCGACTCACCTAAGAAACTATTTCTAAGTGACGAAAAATCTCATTTCTCACATTAGTTTTTGGGGTTTTTTTTCCCCTTTTTAATTTTCTTTGCACGTGTAAAGACCAGTGACATCTCCAGAGCGACCCTCCCGCCAGCAGATAGCTCAGCCCGTGACCGATGCCAACGCACGGAGCCAAAACCCGTTCCCACGGGCAACTGCCTGTTTGGAGCCTCCTGCCTCGGGCGGGGGCACCGGGTGCCCGGAGGGGGTTTTCTCTGCTTTTCAAGGCACATTAGAAATCAACCCAAGGAGTCGATGTAAAGCCACTTGTACACGGGTGGCAAAGAAACACGGACGAAGAGCCCCATTTTGCCCCACGGTGGACCTGTCGGGCAACGCTAAAAATCAGCTTTTACAAAGCAAACAGGAACAGCGACGAGGCTGCAGGCCAGGAAAGTGCCGCTAACACACACATGTCAGAAAAAAAACCCTTTATTTCTGCATTAAGGCCCAGATTTGCACACTGGTCTTTTATTTTGCACGAGCTCAGGACCTCGCAGAACGTCGCCCGCTGCGCAAGGGCTGACGTTCCTCTTGTCGGATTGTAGGAGAAATATGGAGCCCTAAACAAAATGTTCGGGATAGGAACATAAATCAGTATAAAATAGGAAAAGAGAAATAACTAAGAGAAAAATACACGGCGCGGAGAGCGGCAGCAGCCTGCGTGATGCCAGGATGTGGCCACGGGAAAGATGTCAGATGCTGGGACCTCTGGACCATGGAGGACTTGGCCTAAATTCAAAGGGATGAACCTGACTGAGCCACATCCAAACCCCTCGGAGGACCCACAACCATCCAAATTTCAGAGCTCAGCAGTGCCAGTTCCTTTAGGATGGGAAACAGGACTTTGAAGGCAAGGCACGGCATACAGCAGAAACCCTCCTCTTCCTCAGCCCTCGCCTGCGCTGCACCCCGTCCCCAGCGCCCTCCTTCTGTCCCAGCCACGGCAGAGATCTGCTGAATTGCTCCAAAACAAACAAGTTTTCAAGTTTTCTCCGCGCTCTGGCTTGTTCCTCTCTTTGGTTTATTTTCAGTTTATTTAGTAGCTTTGAAAAAACAGGTGCGAGGAAGGAGGAGAGCAGAGTTGCAGGCTCCCAGCCCGCTCCCCCCAGGCACCCACCAAAATCCCAGCCTTGCTGGCTTCCAGTCTGATCCCAAACCCAGGACGGCCAGCCATAAAACTTGGCCTTTAGGTGAATGGGTTTGGGAGGGGGCTGGGGCTGCTCCTAACCCTCGCAGCGTCGTAGGAAGGTTTGGAAACAAGATTTCATCCGAAAGACCGTTTCTCCAGACTTTTTTTTTTTTGTTTTACCCCGCTACGATTCGCACGCTCGCTGGCTGTTTTCGCTCTAGTATTTACTGGTTGGGAGGAGAGGAACCAGTTCATAAACAAGCAAGAAGATTAAAGCAGATAAAAGGCAGCAGCACTGCCATCGCAGCAAGCCCAGCGCATTAACATGCAGGACGGCGGCCAGGCCTGCGCCGCAG